TCTGACCCAATCCAGCAGTCACCTTGCAAGACTGGACTCAGTTCTGACAGCCACTTTCTCAATGCATGCTTTGCCATGCAATCCGCTCCAACACACTCATTCCTGAAGAGCCTTCTAGAGTCCCTTATCAACATAATGGTTTTTAATGGCTTGTTTTGTAGAGGTCAAGTAGAAACTCTTTAACAGTTATTTCTTAAAACAAATACTGAAACAGCATTAAGTTTGCAAGCAAATATGCTTCAAGCAAGAAAAGCAACCCAACTTTTACTTCCTGAGCTGTCTCTCATTATTATGATGCATATCAGGACTAGACCATTTTGTGCTGCACTGGTGGCTGTATCTTGTGTTGCTTGAAATTGCACTTGGCATGGACACTTCACAGATAACAGCTGCATGGAGCTGAAAGGGACAACACAGTGACTCGCCTACAGTGAAACCTTCCAGGCTTCTAGGACAGAGTGATATTTGGCACACTTTTAATGCATTTGATTGTCTCTCCAGAAATACATCACGATGGTCTCTGAAGAACTGGGTAACAGCTAAGCCATATCTTTCCCATTTATGGTTAAATACTAACAATGTATTTATGATCCCGACTGAAAGTTCAAGTGTGTTAAAATATAGAATCCATCTCCACATACAGCTCTGGTGACCACATGATACTGACTCCCTTTCTCAAGTCCAAAAGACTCCTACCTGCTGCCATTTCCTGACAAAGAGTGTACAGAGAGGAAAAAAAAAAAGAAAACAGAAAAGAAAAAAGATATAAAATATAAAACCTTTGCATATAGTGCTACTTTATCAGCTTGATTATTTCCAGGAAGCAGATGTCTCAGGTTCCAGACACTCCCTGCTCTGCCAAGAGCCAGAGGCATCAGTTTCATTTAAAGGTTTCCTACAGGTGCTCCCAATAATTAAATAGAGAATAACACCAATGCTCTAGAGACACAGATTTACCTGCTATTATCCTACAGTGAAATGAAAACTAAAGTGGACCTTCCTCAGTTTTTATCAGAGTGAAAAGTGCTAGTTAGAAAATGTCATATCATACTTTTCTGCATAAATAGTGCTGCACATCAGATATAAGGTGCACTGAGAGCTTTATGGGGAACTTTTCTGCAAATTCCCATATTATGACTCTATTTGGCTAGTACTTCTGGTGTCTGACTTTTAACACTGAGCCAAAATATTTTGTAAGAAGTGATTAAAAATATATATTTTACTAAAATAAATGCAAAGAACAGATGGCAAGTGAATTTCAAACACAAATACAGTTTCTAGAGCTTACAGTGCTTCTGCCAACTTTAGCACTATTTTTAGCATAAATTGAAAACAAGGTTCTGTTAACTAAACATTTTGGCAGTTACAGTATTGATTCAATTAATCTCAAAACAGAGAAACGTCAAAAACTGTATTAAGTCAGAACCTTTGAAGAAGTCCAGACTTTTATATCCTTAGTGGAATATTAGTCTTATAAAAAAAAAACTAATCTAATTTGTACGCAAATAACTTTAGTTTTCAATTTCTTTCCAAATTCTAAGATCTAGAATGGGTCACTGAGTGTTTGGCTTTGCCTTAAATGTTTAGATAAAGAGTCAAATATTTCAAATTAACAGGAAAAAAGGCAGCAGTGTCTAAGAGAAAAAGAGATTTCTACAGAGTTCCTCAATTTAAGAATAAAATAGATATAATTGTTAATAACTATAAAAACAAAATTTGAGGAAAGACTAGTGGTTTGGATATTAATATAATTGTACCTTTTTTGTCATAAGAATATGGACTTTCTTTGTCCACAAATCAACAATAGACTTAATTGTAAAAGTCACAGTGTAAAACCAGATAACACATCACACATGAGAATTACATATTTTCCCATACAATTAAGTTTGTGCCTTCCATTTTCATGTGTACTCACTTCTCCCAGAAAGGTGGGGGTTTTTTCAGTCTGTAGGGACAAAAGATGCTTTTTCGAGCATATTTACTGACCTGACAACATCAGAAGGTTTCTTTTGAAGAGAATGCAAGAAAGTCCTCAAATCCATCAATCTTGTTGCAAAGAAGTATGTATGCACTTTCTGAGAGCCACACACATGGATTATTTTGGTTTTAAGGAGCTTGGTTCTACTTGAACACATGTTCTTCAATATTATTATTATTATTATTACTACTACTACTATCATTATTTTAAACCTTCTTGCCTTATCCTTATGAAAGGCAGGACTCTGCATGCTATTGGCCAAAGCCATAAAACAGGAGTCCACATATAAGAGCTTGGTCCAACTTACTAATAATAACTACATACAACGCCAGTGGAACTACAAGAACATTCAGTGATGAAAGAGAGTGGAGTGACAAGTATGCCTGCAACCCATACTTGTGGAACAACTCACAAGCTGAAGGAGCCATGTTTGAGAGACCAGAGTCAAGTTTCATTATGTCATACAGGAAATACATGAATTTTGAAAGTGTTAGTCCGCTTCTTTCAGCCTTCCAGATTCTTCTGGATGCCTCTGGAAGGATGACAGGTCACAGCTCAGAAGATTCTTGAAAACAACTGATGTAGTATGATAATTACTACACCACAGTAATATGGCACATAGTATGAACCATTCTTCACCTTTACTTTCAGCTTCAACAAAGATTATTTTATTTGCATTTAAAAAATGGAGTAACTGCTAGTGCAAAACCAAGAGCAGCAAATATGAAGCTGAAACATACGCAATCGTTTTTATTTTTTATAGTTCGTTTCAGTACAGTTTCCACAAATCTGATTCCACCCCTCCTTTTTCCCTCCTTTTTCACCTTATATTTCAGGATATTTCTTTTTTTTTCTGGAGGGGGGTGGAACTCACCATCACTGCCTTCTTAGTTTTCAATCATTTCCAAATTTTCCATTTTTCAAATGTCTAGGTGTGCCCAGCAGTATGAATGGGCACAATAGTTGACCTCACTCAGTTGCTGCCGCTGCTTTGTTCCACTAGGAGCTGGCCAAGAATCTGACTGCCTACCTTCACGTGGGTCCTTTGTTCTACACCTAAACAAGTCACGCCTAATTTGTACAGGCCTAAAGAATGACACAACCAAATAAAGTTTAGCAACACTTCTTGAACTCTGTAAATTATACCAACAATTCATACCACTGAATTGCATTTCCTCAAATATTTTGCAACTAAGTGCAGGCTCCGATGTCTCTTTTTTTTTTTTTTTACATTCATGCATGCAAATGCACATGAATTTGGAGAAATTTATCCTTGCTTGTAGAAAACAATGGTATAACTTTGATTTTATTGATAAATGCCAAAAGAAAACTAAAGTGTCGGCATTGGCAAGTTTCACCATCTGTACATAGTTCTATGATGTGAATTAGAAACACACCACAAGAATTTTTTTAAAAAGTAATACATCCTTCTTAAGAATCAAATGTACTCTAATAAAAAGAATAAGACTGAATATAAATTTCACAGAAATCAGAGTAAGTTATGCAGTAACAACTACAGGCTATATAAATTAAACCACCCATTTTGCTGGACATAATGAAATCTCATTTTTATTAATAATTTGTTGAATTGGAAAAAAAATTCTGACTTCGATTCTGAAATTCTGAAGAAAGTAAATAGACTAGAATCTTCTTGACCTTCAAATAAAGCAAATCAGAAAATGCAAACTCTACTCTTTGTAGACAACTCTCATGCTCATTAGAGAGTCAGAGCCTCAGAAAGTTATCAAACTTCAAAAACATGCTCTCCCAAGGTCAGATACATTTGCAGTGAAACAACCACCCCATCTAATTTCATGTTAGCAATTTCCTAAATAAAATAACACTTTTCCAGACTTAGACAATGAGGAGAGGAGGGAAACTATATTTTCTCCTCTGTGAGGGTGCTGTGGTGCAACATAGCAAATTATTATTTTAACACAATTTTTAAACAATCACATTGTTTGAACTTATAAAACCTTGGCAATCTTGGGAAGTTTCAAGTTGCATTTTCCCTTTCAGCTGAACTGTTATGGCTGCATAACTTGATTTAAACAGGCATAAGAAATGTATGAGCTTGTTGTGCCTTGTTGTAACATTACTTGCCTATTACGACTTACATATTTGCACTTTATCAGGAGGCACACTGTAGCCTACACATTTGAACCTCCTTGTCCAGAAACAGACACTTCAACCACTGCAAAAAGTGAAGCTTTGCACAGGCTTTTTGACCTCGCACTGTGACCCTCATACCAGCATCCACAGGCTACAGGTCATGACCTCAAGAATTAGCATCATGGAAATAAGAGCCCTTCCAGGTTTAGTTACAGAACAGAACACTGTAGCAACAAACCCTCGGACTTCTCTAAACTGAACTCTGCAGCTTTGTTTTAACTCCACTGGAAGACAATAGATAACCCACACTTCAGTTTTCATTACTTGCACACTAAATCATCTCCTCTCCAGCTAAAGGTCTGAGCTCCCGCTGCACTATGAAAACATTCATTCAGTGTGGATCGAAAGCCAATATCATATTGCCACTAGATGATCCTATTAAAAGGTTAAAGAAACATCACTATGGAATTGAAGACTTTTGCAACGTTAAGAAAAAACGCTGAAATAAGTCATCCCTGTTAAAATGTTATCTCCTAAGCAGGCTACTTTGCATACACTTCCTCCGGGGAAAAAGACCATGCATCACATGGTCTTTTGCAAGGCTACACTACTGCTAATAAAGCTCCGCTTATATTAAATTGATATCAAATAACCTCCACAACAAGGCTCCATCATGTGTTAAATCCTGAACCATATTTCTAAACTGGTCTTTCCATCGGCAAGAGCTCTCCGATGCGCGCAGCTGACGGGAAGGGGACCCAGCTGTGGAGCGAGGGATCCGGGAGCGCCGGGCCGCCGTTCCCCGCTTCCCGCGGCAGGGGGAGCCAGCGCCCTCGGCCTCGGGCGGCGAGCGGCACCGGGGAAGCGCCAGGGAAAGGGACAGGGACAGGGAAAGGGGCACGGGACTCACCTTCCTCCGGGAACTCCCGAGAGTAACTGTAGGGAGGAGAAGGAGAAGAAACATCATAAAGCAGTGCACACTTGCAAGCCCCACGGTGCCAGGACATGGCGCAGAACAAAAGCTACTTTTCAACAAGTTGCATAGTTGAAACTTAGCGCGGCAAGTTTTTCCTTTAAAATTCGGAAGCCTTTATCTTTGGCTTAAAGTATTCACTCAGTTTTTCCTTTCCCTTTGCAGCTGAGAGAATCCCAGACACTTTAATGAAGACTTGAACAAAACCAAACTCAGACAGAACAGTCTTTTCGAGGAACATACATCTACTCAGACATCTTAAGGTCTAAACATACAAAAGCATCTTTAATTTTAGAAAACCTTCTAAATGTTAACATGTTTCAAAACTTTTCATGCACAGGTAAAAGTCACTGAGCATATTTTAAAATATGGGTCAGCAAGAAAAGGAAAAAAAATAATCACAACTAGTTGTTTTAGCTGCAGTAAATTTGCAGAAATCTAAATGCAAAATGTATTAATAATTAGCCAAAAATTTAAAAGCCTAAATAAAAAATCCTTTTCAAATAAGGAGATCTAAACTTATTTAATGCCTAAAAAAAACCCTCTAGCATCCCAGGGGGAAAATGTACTGTTTCTTCAGAGTTAAAACTTGGTATTTCAGAAAGAAAAATAATCTTAGGATACATTTTGATGATACAGATAAATAATAAGGACAGAGTTACGTAAAATGGCGTTCAAGAAGCATTTATGGACTAGAGTTTATGTGAAAAGAGAGGATTTCATCAGACCTAACTGACAAATAAAATCAGCTGTCAAGATCATGTTTATGGACAATAAGCAATAGTGCATGTATCAGGTTAGTCAATAAGAAGATTCTTGCAAGTAACAAGAAGAAGAGAAATGACGGGTCTAGGGATAAGAAACTGAGAAATGCCAACAGAGATAAAAGGCCAGATCTAAGAAATAGAGCAAGTGGCAGTAATAGACACAGCCCAACATGTGGGATGTGAAAATCAAAGATGACTAGACAGTGTACATATTTTGTAGCCTGCATGAAAAGCAAAATACTGTTAACAGTGAACAGTGTTAAAGGAGATGAGGAATGAATTAGAAATTAGAGTCACAAAAGTGAATAGCAAAGGATTCGGTGTCAATTGTGCTCGTAACTGCAGGTTCCCTCCCTTTGGTATTTCATCACCCAAAAAAACATAGTTCAGTCCTAACATAGAAGAAAAAAGTCAGTAGTGCTGTATCTGTCTATAAAGGGACAAGTAACTCAATAATCCACAAAGGAAAGCACAAATAAATAAATAAAATACTGGTTCCCTAGAGGAGAGAAGTAGTTCCCTAAGCATTTACAGGCTGAATGAACAGCATACAGGCCTTCAATTACAAGAATTCGGGGCACATCTCATATCTCCCTACAGTCAGGGCCATGCAAAGAATAATGCCCTCACCAGATGATTGTGCCGTCTTTGAAATTGTAAACAAGTTGCCTCAGGGGTAGAAGAATGTCATCAAAGGAACGATTAGGGGATATCACACACGAGTGATCAATAGAAAAACACTTTGGAAACAACAGCACTTTAGAAACAATGTGAAAAGAACAGCAAGTACTGAACTATATCCTAGTTGATTAGAGTTGCAAGAAAAGAGATTTTTCAAAGAAAATTCTGTAGTGCAAATGAAACTATAGCTAAATATTCTTACTGAATTGCTGATGGAAATTAAAACTCCATAGAACAGTCTCAAATCATCCTTGACACTAAAACAAACAAGACACCCACAGCCCTCTGCTTTGACTGTCATAATACTTCACTATTTTAACACTGATGAAACAAGCTTATGATCTATAAATAGTTTTCAGTTATGTTTCAATTTTCTATTACAGAGCTAAACAACAGAATGTATAGTAAAGCAAAATCAGCATTGAATTGTGCTGTTTTACACCAGTCGAATATGGTGTTTGGAAGCTCATTCACATTCTCAAGGCATTGTATTTCTCATATTTTAATAAATCTTAGCCAAGCTGAAGTGAATGCAAGCTCTACCCAAAGAGCTTGCAATCAGGGTTCAGAATATTAAGCAATTCAAATGGGACAAATCATCCTGATCCCATTCCTTACGAAACTGTAGCAGTTTCAAGAAAGATTATTTGACAAAATCGTGACTTAGATTTTTTTAATTGTTAATATTGTTAATGTTTATTAAAAGATTATTTTAAAAATTATCACTAAGTGACTTTGTAACATATTAAAACCATGAAGCTACTTACCTTGCCTTAACATCCTCTATCTTCTTAAGAAGAAGTTCCCTTCTTTCTTTTGCTTTCTTGGATAGATTTTCTCCTTTTAGCATTTGGGAAATAAATGTTTCAACATCTAATAAAGAAAAAAAAAAAAGATAAAATAGTGCTGTAATGAGTTGTCCTGATACTACTGTGAAAAAACTAAGAAAATTATTTTCAGTCCTACTCACAGCATAGTTAACACTCATTTCAGAGTCTAAATGGGATACATTTGTTCCCTATCAACTTATGCTGAGCACAGCAAATCCTATGGTGACATTTGATTCTTGCTCACTTAATTATGCTATGTAAGTCCTAATAAATTGCAGTACTGTAACAATTACTTTCCATCACCTAAAGTAAGAGATAAAGCTAAAACATCAATATAGCCTTTATTCATGTATTCCTGCCATGTTATTTCAGAAGTTCAGGTTTCAGAGATGGTTGAGTAATTCATTATTTGAGCAGTAACAATTACCCAGCTCCTAATATAGGTCACTTACTGGTTACAGTATTTTCAAGTGTTCTCACATTGCCTCTGAACTCTCTGATTGACTAAAGATTCATATCCAAAGCCTTAATCTTGAAAACAACTAGGTAGGCATAATAACCATATCAAAAGAGTCAAGCTCAACAGTGTACTTGAAATTAAGCACACGTGCACTTGTAGAATCACAAACTAAGGCTCTAACCTGCACTCTAATTCTTTATTCTTATACAGATGATAGATTTATATAGTCGTGTAGAAACAAAGCATTCCATAAAAGTTACCACGGTTCTTTTAATATGGCAAATATCCATTCCACAGGATAAAAACAATGCAGTGTCTGAGAATTTCAGGGAGTATAACTCCTCCATCAGTATGTTTTCTTCATTAACAAAAACAATGGCAATAGCCAACTTCAAAAATTTTCTTACAGTTACCAATCAACATACGACTATCCTGAAAACAGACAAGTAGAAATACAACCAGAAAATCCTGCTTGTTAACTTAAATGTCTCACCTGTACAGAGTGATAATACAGATAATAACTGGTCACTGAATAAGAGCAAGCAAACATAAGTAAAAAACCACCCTCACACAGTGCCTGCCCACCCCCCACAGACACACACATATAGATAGATAGATAGATAGATAGATATAGATATAGATAGCTATATATACACAGGCACACTTTGGCTCACTCTACATAGATGCAAATAGACATGGATAGTACTATTTTAATCCTCTAACTTTTCCAATCAGATGAGATATTTCATTTAATACAGAAATATCAAACAGCCAGCTAAGTTCTCAAATGTTTGCACGCAAAAGTTTACATTAATATTTACTGCAGATTTCCTAAATTAAAAACTTAATTGACTGCTTTTTTTCATAAAACAGAAACATATCACACTTTATCTTACAGGCTGCAAGAAAACAAGTCAAAAGTTACCCTTTGAGAACACTAGCATAGCTACTACAAAGACATTGTTCTTTATAAATAATTTACCGGATTATTATTTAGATGTTTAGATTTCTGTCTTCACAAAGTGTGGCAAAAACATTCACTTTAAAATAGTTTAAGAGTTTTGAAGAATGATATTGTTCCCCTTCCTCATATGACAGAGAATCTTCCCCATTCTACTTTCCAGTGAAGTTCCGAATGGGGGAGACCCTCACTCAGTTCTATGGCATTCCTTCTTTAAAAGGACAGAAGGAAAGGCACTTAACGTCTATTAATTAATCCTCCAGACACACCTCCAACAGCCTCTCTGCCGTACAACGAGCACCCCCAGAAAGATTCTGTCCTAACCCATGGAAAAAGTACACATCTTCATAAATTCCAGTGACTGGAACTGCCAATCAAGCTGCCAGATGAGGACTTAGAGAATCCAAAGACACTGACCAACTATAAAATGGGTCAAAAACCCCGGTATTTTTACTACTGAGAGCAAAAACAAAAACCATCAACAATTTTTCTCTCAATGAAACCTAACAGGATTTTCCAGTACAGACCAACGTTTCACTCCAAGAGGGACAGCCTGATTAAATATTTGTTCCTTCATACTTTTACATATTTATTTCAAAAATTATATAGCAGCTTCAAAGTTCTATCTAGGCATCAATATGCAAAAATTTAGAGGAATTAGTAATGTTTATAAATCAGGAGCAATGCCTGCAAAGTAACGTTTGGACACTAATTAATCACAGAACTTGGCTTCAGAACTCTTTAATTTAAACCCAGTGGGCTTCTTCACTCGGAAAACCTAAGCTCAAAACCCAAGTGAGAATTCTCAGATCTCAGAATCTCAGGTTTTCACTCTCAAATCTTTATTCAAATACAAATGTTCAGATAATCAAGGAGTATGTGGGGAAGAGAAACCCAGTTGACTATCATAAGCAAGGATTACCACTTCCAGCTTAAAATACACTGTAAATACAGAAATTTGAGGATTAACTACACTGCTGCAAGAATTTGTTATTTTCCAAAAAAACTTGGACTTCTAAAGCAGAAATAATAGAGAATTTTCAGCCATGGAGGGACAGGGCAGAAGTAGATGCTGCATTTATTTTCAGTACACATAAGAGTTGGAAGAGACAGGCAAAGGAGAGAGGCAGAAACAGAGCAGGCATGCACAAGATCCTGACAAGTTTGTTGTTTCTAAATAGCAGCAGTTACAGAGAAGGCACCACTGGGATGGCTTCCTCTCCCATGAGATGAAAAAACTAGTTCTCAGAGGTTAGGCATCCACAGTCAGAAAGCATTGTACTCATCATGGAACACTATGACTTCCATATGTCCATAAAAACCATATGGCTTGATTCATCACAACCCCAAAATATGAAGACAGACCTGACATACACATGATCTTCAACAGGACACTAAAGAATCAGTTTACCTGCAAATATACTTTACTGTATCATAGATTTTTCTTATCTACTCACAATTACACAGAATGTTACATCTCTTGCTCAAGCCATGTTCTGATCTGGTGCTGTAAATCCATCCAAGATGTGCCAGATGCACAAGATGAGTAACATCCTAAGCTCCTCTGGACAAGAAGCCAGCAAGTTATCTAAGTTACGATCATCTCTTCACTGCCTGTACTTCCACACTGTGGAAGAATATGGCAGGAGCAGTCCCTGCTGTTAAAGAAAGCTCTATATCACTGGCTTAATATAAAGGAATGTTCCTGTAATTTCTCAGACATTGCACAAAGTGATTTACCTTGGAATGAAAACAGAACTTGGGACTTCAGTATGACAGATCCAAGCTTCATACAGTGAACTTCAAACAGAAGCAGCAAAATTTACCCATTTTTCACTACAAGTCTGGTCACTTACTTGCTCTTCCTTCTCCAGGATGATCCACAACTTGATCTCTCCTCTGCTAGGTTAATATTATACAGAAAATGAAACTACTAGTCACAAGCACTTGAGTGTAGATGTGTTTCATGCTTCAGTAGCAGTTGATCCATTAAGGAATTTAAAAAAGAATAAAAGATCAACTCCAAAAAGAAAATCCCTTTGTACACATTTCTGCTTTAAAAGCATTTTAACTAATCAATTACCCCACAGCAAACAAAACAAACTACACATCTCCATAAATTCATCCTAACAAACTAAGCAGTTAATTTAGCATCACACATTGCAGACACTCCGCTGTTCCCAGTGAAAACACTAAAATAAACAAACACTTAAAAAACCTATTTATCACCTCTTAACTTTTCTTAAGCTTGTGTTAGACTGCCTGATAGCTTGAATACCCCTACTTGTTGCTCTGTATCTTAATTCTCATGATGTTAAATTTCTTTGCACCCTCCCCCAGGGAAATCATTTGCCTGCAGAAATGAGTAAAAACTACCAAATGAAAGATCCATAAAATGCTCTGTCAATACAGGTTACTAACTGACAAAAGGAAAGTCACACCACAGGCTTGCTCTGTCCACTTCAACGAGCTCATACAGTTCAAAACTTAAGTGCCACTTCGCAGAATTAGCTAAAATGCCATTTTAATCTTATTTTCAGCTACATTTCTTCTACAAGGAGAAAAGCTAAGATTTATTTTGCATTTCGCTGTTAAAACAGTTTATGGTTCTCTTTACTTCAATGATTATAAACAGACAACACTGCAAGATTTTAATTGTTTTAAAGTCTTTGGAGTTATTTTCTTTAATGAAGGCTGAAAACACACAGATGGAATTTTTCAAGAACATTGTAAATTTTTAGCCCAAAGCAAGTGCTGTGTTAAAGAGTGCTAATCATAACAATCATAGCACTATTATTGTTTACAGGGTTTAATATTGTAATTAGAAGTCACACTTAATAAACAAACATACTTAGGACACAACTACCTCAATTTTGGGTCAGGGTGGGCCAAATAGATTCTCATAGAGGCACCCAAACACAGCATGCTGGGTCTTCCTTTCTCCTCTCCTCCAGCAGATAACCAAAACATTGTCCAATTACATTATCAAAAAATTAGTCACTTCATCATGGACACATGAGTTCTCACCATGCAAATGACAAGAGAAGAATCAGAAACTGGTGATGAGATGGGTGTGTTTCCACTCATATAGCAGGGCATGCACACAGCTCCCTCTCCATGACCCAAGGAGAATGCAAGCCCCTGTTCCAAGGCTGGACATGCATCCATCATATGACAAGGGTCATTTGTATGGGGTAACCCACCAGAGGCACTACCAGTCACACATAAAGGCAATAACAGGTTGGCAGAACAATTTCTCCAGCCACCAGCCTTTTCCCATCTCTCTCCTCCACCTCAAGGACAGAGAGAGCCAGAAGTCAGCTGCCAGCCAGAGAATGTGGGAAGGCAGGCCAGAGAAATTTGGAAGGTAGCTGCAAGCTAGGCACATTTGTTACACACACACTGTCCAAGGGTAACCAACATTAAACAGACTGCCATGTATTTTTCAGCTTTACATGGGCTGGCATTAGAAAGCCATTAATTAATTTGATTTCAAAGTTTTCATGCGATTCATTAATAGAGAACAGGTCTGAAGACAAACTATCAAGCAATATCTGCCACTGCCTGTTCTCTTGCATAAAGAAATATTTGAGGATTGTGCTTTTGCTCTCCCCCTGCCTTCCCAACTATACTTACAAGTCTCTCTCCAGAGTTTGCTAAATTGCCTTTTAAATATATATACACCTAATCAGAAACAGAACACATGATGTAAAATAATCTTGGACTGAAACTCCAAGATGTCTAAAAATACCACATTCACCCAACCTAACAAGAGGGTGAGCATTCCTTTTAGAGCAAAGTCCTGGAAAAGACTGCCTTTAGAAAGTGCTGAACCTTAAATCCCCAAAAGCAAGGTTTTGTTGCTATGTCGACACACACGAAGTAAGTATCATGAAAAATGTTGATGGTCAACAGTTTTATTAGTGATTTAGAAAGCAGAAGTAGACACAGACTGCTAAGAGTCTTCAAATGAAGTAAAGATATGACATCTCTTTTAAGAGATTAAAGAAGACAAATTGTAATCAAAGACTACATATGTCTAATCTTATTGGCTGAGTAGTTGAGCATCCTCTCTCTACATTAAAGAGGTGAGAAAAGATAAAGCTGTGTATTAACTACATCACAAAAAAACCCACCAATACAAATCATGATCAAGTTACAAAGTGATTCCAAATGAACTATAATAAAAAATGTTAAGGATTAACCTAAAGATTTACACTGTATGCCACATTATGCTGCATCTATTATGGTTTGTTGACATATGATTATGAAAGAAACGTAAACCCAGTCAGATGAGAAAGATAGACTCCATGTTAATTGAAAAAGACAAACTAAGTGAATAATGAGTATATAAAAAATAGCCTATGCCATTTTTATCACCCGTATATGACACTTATTCCCAAATTTATGACAGAGACAATTGAACTATGTTTCAAATCACTGGAGGTTATTTCTTACCAGGAATCCCTCTGTGCATTTTTTTCACCTCACTGTTTCTATTCTTAATCCATTACTATTGAAATATATACATATTACCAAAGCTGTAAATACATGTCTACTTAAAAGATGTCTACAATAATCACCCTTGTTTATCTTGTACAGATGGATCCTTCAGCAAGAACTAGTTATTTGTTAAAGCCCTGGAAACATGAAAATGATACTTCAAAAAAAGAGTAAAGTTTTAAACAATAATATCCTTTTAAATTTGAACCAGCCAATGAAGAAGAGCTATATTGTACCTAGGGGGCTGTTTCTATGACAAGAATGTAAGAAGCAAGCCCAGGAACAGCTGACATGGAAGATGAAAAAGGACTGTTCATTTTCTGGGTATCAAGGGTAAATATAACTACTGTAGCACCCAAAAATTAAAGGTAAGCTAAATTAAACTTACACACTGGATCCACTGTCTTGCATTTCTCTTCCCTTGCCCTTTTCTGCATGCTGTTTCCAAGATGCAACTAAACCAAGTGGGTAACCAATATTAATTGGAAGAAAAAAATCAGAGGAATCACACTGAAAAAGGTGATTTGGACAATACAACTCAGCACTTAAACAAGCTGAATAATATCTGGGTAGAGATGATCTCTAGGGCAAGGATATTGGTTTCTGTTTAGTTTTGGGGTTTCATTTAATAGAACAAGGAAAATAGATATTAGGATGGGATATAAGGTTCCATATGAACTAGAGAAAAATTATTATATTTTAATAGCAAAAAATATTTGTAACTTTTAAAATATGAATACAGAAGGCTCAGACAAGAAATACTGCCAAGTATGAAAGGAAAATAAATTAAAAAACAAAACAAAACACAATATTACCCACACTATACTCAAGAGTTCCAAGAAGAGGGGAAAAGATATAAATGATACATATATCTAATGATCATGACACTATCAAAATTTTTTTAAAAATAAAGAAGTCTTACCTCCAACTGAATCTTTATTACTCAATAAAGATTGAAGAAAGAACTCAAGAAATTTTTTTCCAATCAAAATGACTGAAGCCACTGGTCTGATTTACATGACAAAAGAAATAATATGGCCTTGGAGAAGATGCAACCTCTGAACTCCTTCTCAGCTATGGACAAGACAAATCTTAAGAGTGTGTATAAAAGAGGAAGGAAAAATAAAAGTGAGCAGGCCTCTAACAATCTACATAACCAATAAGAATTTAAGGCAACCAAAAAAAAAGTAACATTCCACTTTGCCAAACGCCCACAAAAAGATGCTCCTCGACACATGAACACAACAAGGGACACCTTTTCAAAAGAAGAAAAGACAAAGTGAGGCTGGGCTTCCTTCACTAAATCCCAAAATCTCAAGCATCATCTAGAAGATGCAGGGATTCGGGTAGGGAATTAAGAAGTTACATACACTACCACACATCTCCCACATGTAAAGGAGGAGATAACAGAGCAACAAAATTACTTTCTCCTCCCACCAGAAGTTCATCTCATGACCAGAGGACACTGTTTCTGTCTCCAGTGTTTCCCTCCCACCACTTGAACAAGTCAGAGGAGACAGGATGGGATTGTGCAATCCCAGTAATCCTCTGCAATAAGCCTGTTGCCACACTGACCTTTCCCCTTCAACTTTACAGAAACAGCTTCCTCCTGTTTCCAGCTAATGCAGTTAGCCCTGAGCTCAAGCTGTGTTTCTGCCTGGAACATTTCACTGCCACTGACATGCAACTACAATGACCCTGCCAGCACGTGTGACAGAATTTGGTTTTGCGTTAAAGATACAATATAGTTTAGGTTCAAAGTAAAGCACTCACAAGTCAGAAAGTTTCCTGTGCAACTTTAATTCATCCCCTGGTGTGTTTATTCCCATTATCACCATGTTTAACTATGGGAGCACTTAGTATGTTTTCCAGTAGGACCCCTACTTGTTCAGCATAGTGGGTGGACATACTCCAACCATCAATCAAAAGTAAGCAGGGATAAGGAAATCCATATGATCACTCCTCCACTTGTTGTAGAAGTTGGAAATAGTAGGCAAAAAGGCCAAGAAAAGGAAGAAGAGTAGAAGAGCATATTTATGAGATATTGTACCTCTGAGTGCCTCACTGCTAAGTGAATATCAGCCTAAAAAACAGTACTTCTTGCTAGCCATTAACTGCATATTCTCAACAGAACCTGATATGAAGAAGTGCCTGGCACTCATAATGGCCACTGAATATAGACATCCAACTTATGTTATTTTCTGGAGAAACTAGCACAGCATGGAGGCAGGTGAATTTGAATTCTAATTCTGTTCTACCATTGACTATTTCTTGCGCCCCCAATCACATCTTGTTTATTACACTGATTTTACCAACAGGAAAACAATATTCCCTCATCTCAAAGAGGTGCTGAATCAATAACTGTGAGCCATTAAAATAATACATTAAGAAGCACCTTCAAAGAAGAGCATGCAGAAATTAATAACTATCTACTCACTGCAGTCTTTGCATTGTGTAAGAGTTTCTCAATGAATAGTAAAGATATTACAGAGTTCCCTTCCTCCCTCAATTACCATACATCTTCACTACATCAATAATTTGAGCAAAAAGAAGCAGAAGACTACATAATTAAAGATTACTAGATCCTACACATATCAGTGAAAGAACTGTTCATGGAGCCTAGATTACTGTAGTTTCTAACTTTCTAACTCACTTGACTGATAACCTTAAAAAAAAAGAGGCTAACACACACAAACTGTAAAAAGCAATGCCATATTTCAGTTAAATTAAACAGGTTATTTAGTTTTAACATTGTATAACCATAATTATCCTTATATTTGTTTCCCTTTGGTAATTCTGAAAGTAAGAATTAAAATCTACAAACTATTAGTTACTATTAGTAATAATAAAACAATATTTAGAGATCATTGGTAAATCATTCCACTGTCTTCTTAATTTCAGTTCTATAGACAGCACCAAAGAAACCATCTCGTTTTCTTCCAGAAAAGGTGAACAAACACTAGATATCTGTATATAACTTAAGCTGCTGATCATAGAGACTCTGAAAGCACATATACACAATCCTTTTCAGGAAAAATAGGTGTTCTCAGTTTCACATCAAAATAAAAACTATTGTGCCTCTCTTTCCATGGCAGACTGGATAAAGAAAGGGAGAAGGACAAGTTGTGTAAACGAGGCTGAAAATCCCAGAATATCCCCTCTGCATCATATCCTCCCCCTCAAAAAAAAAAAAAAATTCTTAAAGCACTTAAAACTTTCAAGAGTTTCAAGACAAGCTTCACCCAGTGAAACCAGCACTGAAACAAACATACACACACTTCATCTGATCACAAGGTCCAGAATACAATAATGCCTAAGAAATCACCAGTTTGGAAGGGCTCTCTAAGGGTAATGTTTGTTTTTTTCTAAATGATTTAGAATCTATTCCATGATGAAATGGATTAAAAGCTTTCCTTTTTTTTTTTTTTCTGGTGGCCTTCCATGCAAATTTTACTACAGATGTTATGATCTGCAAATAACATACTTAGAAACCGCACTTAGGAAACACTTAAGGCAGCTGGCACAACATGAGATGTGGTGAGAACAATACGTTTCAAGCATTAGCTCTTACAATCAAAAGTGTTAAAAAAAGAATAGTCTTCGAAGGTGACGAGCTGTACTAGATTCTAGCAGCTCCCCAGCCATGTAATTGAGTGCTTGACCTCAGAAGGAAGATTTCGAAAAGCATGGGTAATTTGAATGGCTAAGTCAGAGCTACACGAGTTCCTGTGGCAGAAGCAGAAGTTCTCAAAAGAAAGAGAGTCCCACTGAAACTAAAATGCTCTCAGGGCAGCAAACTTTTCAATAGAGGCAACAGTAAAACCAAACTTTAAGTATACAATTTATTTCAATGAACAACAAAACAAACAAAATTTTAAAAATTAAAGTCTTGAAGGTAAAATACAACCACCCGTATTCTGAATTCCCTACTGACACTATCGCTGACAACCTTGCATGGTGAGAAATCATCGCATTCCCACGCTCCAAGGCTTCCCAGGAGCGTGGGCAGTCACGGTCAGATAAGACAACACACCAGCAACTCCAGCATCCCCTCCGTGAGCTGCTCAGCTGCTCAGCGGGGAAGTTCATTACTTCTTATCAGCTGGTTCGGGCAGTCAGCCCTGCCCGCACATCCCGGGAGGAGTCACTTCCCCCGGGCGGCTCGGGGTGCCCGGGCAGCCGCACCCCGCACACGGCAGCCCCGCAGGGCCGGCGGAGCCCCCCGACACCGCAGCCCCCCAGGGGCTCCGGGGGCCGGGTCGCTCCTTCCCCCTGCGCGAAAGGGAACCGAGGCGCTGCGGGTGCCAGGGACGGGCACGAGGAGGGGAAGTGACCAGGGAGGGGGAACCGCGGGGGGAAAGACGGAACCCCCGAGCCCGTGCAGGGGAAGCGATCGCTCCGCCGGCGCCGCGGCTCCAGGGGCTGCTCCTCCCGCACGCCGCGGCTCCCCCGGCTCGGCACACCCCCGCCGGCCCGCCCCCCTCGGCATCCCCTCCGCCCGCCCCCCGGGAAGGAAGCCCTCCCTCCTGCCCTCACCTGCCAGGAGGCTGCAGACGTCGCCGGGCACGGCGGGCCCGGCGGGAGCGCGGGACATGGCGCGGGCGGCGGGACGGGGCGCGGGGGGGGCTGCGCCGCTCGCACCGGGCCGGACCCCGCCACCGGCAGCACGCGCAGGACACGCCCCCGACCACCCCGGCACGGCCGCGCCACACGGGGCGGGGCTTACCGCCAAGGGGGCGGGGCTCCGGTCCCATGTGGGCGGGGTTTAGCCACGTGGAGGCGGGGCTTGTGCGCCGGTAGGAGTGGGATCGTGCCAGGGGGCGGGGCTTCGTGCCGCTCCCCCGCCCCTACCCGCTCGCCCCGCCTACCCCGGTGTTGCTCATGCGCTTTACCATCCCCCCGTGTTTATACCCCCGCCTCGAGAGCACGGAGTGCCACGTGATCGCTGCCGGTGGCCATTGTGGGTGAGGGCACCGCGCACCAGGATCAAACATGGCGCTCCGCGTTCACTCCCGCTGCTCGCCTCCGCCCCGGAGCCCAGGAGAAGTTCACTATTGGATAAGAGTTCCCGGAAGCCGCTTTCTGATTGGTCCATTGGTTATGCCGCCTTCCAAGGCTGGCGTCCCCGCCCTCTCCCGCGGGGCGGGGTCTCGGGGGTGGTTGGTGTGCAGGGTGCTATTTGGGGAGTTTATTTTTGGTAGTGGTGTTTCCAGGATGTGTTCGGAGCGCCGTGCGGACCCTCTCCCACTCGGCCTTGTGGCACTACCAGTGCCAGGTTTGGGATAGCAGGCTGCAGCCCAACCCCAGCCCTGCGGGTATCCCAGTGGTCGCGGGTGGCCAAACCGAGCCGTGGAACCTGAGGAAGTCACGTGCACACGAGGCACGCGGTGGAATAAGAAGTGGGAAGTGCAGCAGCGGGGAACAGGCTCGTTGGGATGGGCGCTGCTAGCACAGGTGTGCGGGCAGAGGCAGGAAGAGGTGCTGTTCCTCAGCAGCACAGCTGCGCTGCTGGAATGGCAGACCTTGTTCGAGTTTTGCTTATGGAGCAGCTTTGGTGTATTTTTTCCCGCAAATCCCTGGTCGTTTGCGTTCGGAGCACGTCGGTGGTGTAATGTATTTAGTGTAGAAACAGTCAAACTCCTAGCATGTGTTGTTCTGGCTCTGTCTGTGTTACTGCTACAGAAAGTGTTTGTGTTAAGAGCTGTGTGTTAGCACATCTGTGTATCATACCAGCCTAGGAAAAACAGCAAGTAAAAGAAGTTACATTTATAAAACTCAAGCTTTACACCAGTGTAAATATATTAACACTTTTGGCACGGCTGACAGTGCAGCTGTACCAGTCAGATATATTAAACAGCTTCATACTTCTGCTTGAGGTATCTGTGCTCGCTGGAGTCTGCAATGTAGACATGGTGTTAGATTATATTGTTCTCCTGACCTCTCACATCTCTTTTAATCACATAGAACGACTCATTTCAAATACATCGGCATTTTCAAAGCGTTGCAGCTTTATTACCTGACTTTATGGCCAGCCTGGCTGAAACTCAACCACTAACTGACCTTTATAATGTTGCTTAATGATTTTTATGTTACTTATCTAATTTCAATTCAACTATAATAAACATGCACAGGCATCTGGGTGCATATGTGTATAAACAGATCTTGCCTCTTTATTTGTATAAATACCTACTACTTGTCTG